TCAGTAGTCTTTATTTAGGTCAATACTTGTGTATAGTTTTATTTAGAAGTTATATATTATTTATGAAATAGTATTACTTGCCTCAAATCTACGAGTAAGTTTATTATCATGATTATAATGGCATCAAACATGAGTACAAACAGTGTCGTTTGAGTAACACACAACGTATGATAACCTATGATCATATTAACAATTACAGGTGTTCGTGATGAAAAGAAGTGAAGTATTAAGAATGAGATGGACGGAAAAGAAGTCAAGTAGTGTTTAAAAGATCGGCTTCGAATCAACTACATGCACTGCCTTGTTCATCAGTGTTGTCGTCGGGTCTTTGACTTCTCTTCATTTCTTCTGCTCTCGCGATCAGTTGTTCGAGATCGTCAAGTTCTCTGCTAGTTTGTCTGTTTAACATGTCGTTGTAGCGCATCAGGAGCTTTTTAGCCCATCCGAAACGAACGAGAGCATCCTGTGGTAAAGCATTTTGATCTAAATACTGTCCTTCGGAGACAAAATAGTTCGCAATATCATGTGTCAAGCATGTTAGCAAATCGGCATCAAAATCGAACATTTGGATATAGTCAACGTAGTTTATTGCCCATTCAGTGTGGAATGGCATATCCAAACAAAACACATAGATTGAGTTGAAGGGAGACTGTGTAATTCGATTCGTAAATACGTCTGGATAATTGGCTAGAATTTGCGGTACGATGTTCTGTCCCAAACTTCCAGAAGTAATGAAAAATATGCGTCTATTTCTGTATTTCTCGAAGGCTCGGAGACAATCTCCCTCATTGTCAAATACCTGTAAGAGGATCCACACACCTTCAAATATCATCGGTACAGCATCTTTAGTACGAATAAGGTTTCCATAGTCTCGCTCAGTCAACTTTGTTGTAATGTGAGTGGTCGGATCGCTATTGCTTGCAAAGGCATTCTTCAAATGACGATATTCACCAGGCTGGCCTATTCCGACATCGAGCCAGAGGATCATATGATTCGGAGTTTCATAATCGGGATCATAAGGAATTGCCATTTTTCAATGTAGCAATGGCTATCTACAAGATAAGTAAACAAGATGTCATGCTTTAGTAACCTAGACACATGATTATACCGTAGTTAGTCAAGGCAAAAAAGATGAATATAATACACGGCACTTCTATTGCGCATAGAGAACGCAAAAGAATCATTATGATGCTGTAAGTGCAGAAAAGAAACAGAACTTCACGTGTAGTGTTCTTTGCGTTTTGTTTTTGTTGTTAACTTCGAGGTCGATTTGCTCGTCCGACTTACACATGCTATTGCCTGTGGTGTCATCGAATTAAGAAAGACCTATATGATGGACGATTCGAGAACGATTCGACCAGCGCCCTCAAATACTTTGAAAGTGTTGATCAAGAATAAAGTTCAATATTCCTTTCCGAATTTTCAATTAAAAAATACTCCTAAGATGTTGCTCCACCATCTTTACTCATAATTCGTCCATGAGTACTCATATTGGTACTACTAACAATTTCTGAGTATTGTTACTCAGTGAGTACTCAGTTACTCATGTGAGTACTCAGGAAATATTCATTCATCATTTTATTTTGCTAAACTGAAACTGTAAAAGAATGTAGAATTTAGTGAAGAAACACAGAATATTTATATTATTATTTTCTCACTGGTCTCTCTTTATATAGTCAGAGATAGACTTGTCTATGACTAGACTTGTAGTCCTACTCTGGCTACCTGA